TGGTCGCAGTAGTAGGCGGTGGTAATGGCCGTGGTAATAGTAGCGGTGGTCGTACAAGTTGCAATAATGACAAGAATCATAATGACGCAACTGCAGCGGCAGTAGAACTGGCAGTGAAATATGTAGTGTTCGTGGGAGCGGGATTGGAGTGAACGTCGGAGCGGTATTGCTTGTCCAGCTGACTGCGAGTCCCGATGGTCCGTTTTAACTGCAAAACCTTGGGTGCAAGCAAGTGAGAGCTGCTCGTTGATATTGGGACTGCTGGTTCGACTCGCGCTTGTCATCGTGGTACTGCTTGATGCACCAGCGTTGGTGCGATTGGTCAGTCCTTGCCGCCTCGTGAAGGATAAAGGGGCGACAAGCAGGAGCAGAAGGATGTGGATGATAAGTTGCAGCAGAAGCGGCCGAATGCCAGTAGGAGCCCTGGTATGCAATCAAAAAAACCTGCAACTACTACTACTACTACTACTACTACTACTACTACTACTACTACTACGACTACTACTACTACGACTACTACTACTACTACTACTACTACTACTACTACTACTACTACTACTACTACTACTATCACTACGATCACTACTACTACTACTACTACTACTACTACTACTACTACGACTACTCCTACTCCTACTACTACGTACTAGGACGACGACACGACGAAGACACTACCAAGACGACTGACATGCACAACGACCACGAACGGACGACGACTACGACTATGATACTACGACTGACTACGACGACTCACGTGACGACGACGACGACTTTAATACTTTCTACGACCACGACCACGACCACTACCACTACCACTACCACTACCACTACACTACCACTTACCACTTTTTACCACTACAACTACTACTCTGCGCTCCTACTACATCTACTACGACTACTGTGTAGCGTGCTACTATGATACTGCTACTACTACTGCTTACTGCGACTGCACTACTATACTACATACTACTACTACTAATATCTACTACTACTTACTACTTTTTACTAACTTACCCTTTTTTACCTTAAAAAACCCTACTACTACTATACTACTACTACTACTACTACTATACTACTTAATACTGCTTTAGTACTGCTACTCTGTACTACTACTTATAGCTACTACTACTTACTGATTACTTACTACTTACACACTACTACTACGTACTACTACTACTAACTACTATTATACTACCTACTACTTACTACTTACTACTTACTACTACTTTTACTACTACTACTACTACTACTACTACTACTACTACTACTACTACTACTACTACTACTACTACTACTACTACTACTACTACTACTACTACTACTACCACTACTACTACTACTACCTCATTCCTCATTCCTCCTCCCTCCTCCTTCCTCCTCCCTCTTCCTCCCCTCACGCTCTTCGTTCGCGTCCTTCTCGCCTCCTCCTCATTCTCCTCCTCCCTATCCCTCGCTCCTCCTCCTTCCTCCTCCTCATCATCATCATCATCATCATCCTATCATCATCATCATCATCATCCTACTCCGCGCTCCTCCTACTCCTCCTCCTCCTCTTCCTCCTCCTCCTCCTTGCTTCTCCTCCTCGCTCCTCCTCCTCGCTCCTCCTCCTCCTCCTCTTTCTCCTCCTTCTCCTCCTCCCCCTCCTCGCTCCTCGTCCTCCTCCTCCTCATCCTCCTCGTCCTTCTCCTCCTCCTCCCTCATCCTGGCTCCTCGATCCCCTCCTCCTAACAGGCGCTAGCCAACAGTGTATGATCGGCCAGAGTCCATTCGCACCTTCTTCCAGCGGCATAAGCAGCTGGAGGAGGTCGAGGTGTAGGCCGCCAGAGGCCCCTTCCCCCCAGGCCGAGAGGGCGGCAGGGCTGGGGAGCTTGACAGTCAGACCAGACCTCGATCATCCATGCGACGGTCCTTCTCCTCTTTTTCCTCCTCCTCGTCCTTTTCCTCCTCCTCCTCCTCTTCCTCCGCCTCGTCCTCCTCTTCCTCTTCCTTTTCCTCCTCCTCCTCCTCCTCAGCCTTCCTCCGCGTCGGCCTTCCACCTCATCCGCCTCCTCCTCCTTCTCCTCCTCCGCCTCCTCCACATCATCCTCATCGCAGCCGAGCGAGACTCGCGTGCTAGGCACCGGTGCGTGTCTCGAAACGGGCAGCGCCAGTAGCTGAACACGTAGGGGCTCAGGGCCCTGCCTCCCCGGTCCGTCAATATCGTTCCCATGTCCATCTCTGTCCGTTGCTTCAGTCCCTCTCCCTCCTCCTCCTCCTCCTCCTCCTCCTCCTCCTCCTCCTCCTCCTCCTGCTCCTGCTCTCCTCCTCCTCCTCCTCCTCCTCCTCCTCCTCTTCCTCCTCCTCCTCCTCCTCCTCCTCCTCCGCATCCTCCTTCTCCTCCTGCAGCTGCTCGATAGAACCTCTGCACCAGCGCGGCTTCCACGCTCTACCGTACCTTCATCTCCCTTCTGGCGCACCGCCCGCCAGGAGCTGGACGTCCGCGGGACGCGGGCCCGTGTCACGGCGTGTGCCCGCTGGGCCCGCGGATGGTGGCGCCTCTCCGCGTCGCTCTGTACATTCCCCTCTCGGCCGTGGAATCTCAGAGGCTAGTGGACACGTGGAGGACGATACGAGCAGATATCATTCTTCTCCCAGGGACACGGATGCGAGAGACGAACGGCGATGCTGTCACAGGGATACCTTTGGGAGGTGGGGCCTTCGCCTTGAATGCGGGATGGAGTTCAGGACCCTCCTCGAACAGTTCGGCGGGATGTACGTTACTCGCGGGGAACATGTTCAGGGCCAAACATGTCAGGAGCATCAACGCCCCCCCATCATCGGCCCAAGGACGAGGCCTTGCTGTTCGTCTTCGAAATCGCAGTGTAGACTTGAGTGTGATCTTGATGTACGTCCCCCCATCGGAGATGCCTCGGCAAAGAAACGTAAGGCTCTGGAGAAGGGCTCTGCACAAGTGGTCCGATGGGGAATCCAGCAGATTCAAAAGGCGCCCAACAGGTCCACACCTATCTTCGCGGGGGACTTCAACACACAGATGGGCCTCAGAGCAGGCTCGCGTACTTACGCTCCGTCGACATCGGCGGCATGGTGGCAACAGGAACGGCCCCTGGCGCGTCCATACCACATGGGGGAGCAGAACGTGATTGGGAATCTGATCCAGGATGAACTGCTGGCCCCTCTGGACATGTATGATGCGGTGACGGCAGATCGACAGGGGGGTCCGACATATTATTCACATAGTGGACATACCAGTACGATCGATCACATCTTCATTCCACCAGGGCTCCGAGACCAAGCATCGGCATGCAAAGTACTATGGAACCCAGCGAAGCGCCTTCAGCTCATCCCCTCGCAGCACCCTCGAGACCATGTCCCGATATTGCTGCAGATGACGGTCGAGAAAAAAATCGGGCCCGGCGGCGAAATCAGAGGAGGGATGGGATCGAAGCCCGCCTGCGGCAGCTGTTCGGCGCGGTGGGTCAAGACGAAGATTTCCTGGACGACCTCGAGAGAGCGATGGTGGAGCACGAGCATGTCATGCGGCAGCAGCTGCGAAGAGGGGAGCTGGACCAGGCGGGCGCGGCAGGAGTTATCGGCACGGCGTGCACGACGGGCGGAGCACGCTTCGCACAGAAGCCCCAAGAGGTGGATCCCGCGGTCGCGGCCCTACGAGAGCGGCGGCTCGAGTCGGTTCGAATGCGAAGCGTTGGAGGCCTGAAAAGGGGCACCAACACCAACACAGGGGTGTGCCTCCACAGGGGGAAGATGATCCTAGATGTCGGTGTTGGTGGTAATATGTCGGCCATCTTTGAAGCCAGAATATGACCACCATCACCGGGATCGGGATCTTCTACCCTCGGTGGAGACACACCGCCGAAAATGGTGTTGGTGTCAACCTTACGAAAGCGAGCTCATAGTACATCTTCGAGACGTCGGAGAAGCATCAGGACTTCGACGATCTGATGCACGACAGACTACACTCTCTCCGGGTCATGAGAATCGACTGACGGCAGATATTGATACACACAAAGCGACGAGTACAGATGGACATGATTCAGCTTCACAGGTGGACAGCTACGACCAGGGCAGAGCAAGATCACAGATGCCGATGAGGAGTGTTTCGCCTATGAGAGTTTCTCCGGATCAGCTGGAAATGGATGCAGACAGAATGAAAGAGGAGTTGATAGTGATCAAAAAAAAATACGACATGAGAGCTGGAAAGCATGGCATGAATCACGACGCAGATTGGAAGCAGAGATCGCACATGCGCATAACGAACACAAGCACGCAGACGTACATCGATGTATGTTCGTGCTGGCGGCGAAGCAGGGGGGACCTCGGAAGCGTCGATACAACCTACCCCCACACATGAGAGTAGAACTGAGTGGCATACACAATTGAGCTTGCCAGCTGAAGGTGAAGGCATGGATGCAACAGATATGGACATCGAGCGGATGCTGAACTACTTCAGCACGCCTATTCATCCCGTGCCGACGGATGAGGAGGAGCTCGAGTCGACCGCGAAGCAGGATAGGAACGACTTTCAAATGACGTCGAGGCAGCTGCGTCGTAGCCACAAGCGGCGGGCGGCCCCGCCGTGGAGTTTCCCGCTAGAGTTGCACCTGATGGCGGCGGATCCCAAGTACCTCCAAGTACCTATCGGTGGGGCCTCAAGAGCGCCTGGAACTAAGGAGCCATCCCGATCTCAGAGGCGGAATCCACCACACCAGCGAAGATATTGGGAAGATTTACATATCTTACGTCGACGTTTGAAACGCACGCCGATCATGGGGAATATAGCGTGGGGAGTGTCGATCGCGAAGCATAATGGCAAAGTGGGAACATTGGGGAAACGTTTTATCGACGTGATGTGCCCGTACTGGAAGGGGCATTACGGGGGGATCCTAAAACAAAACCTTAAAAAGATGAAGATGAAGGAGGCATGCTGGCCGGAGGAGCTTCATGGATTTCTCCCACGTCGACAACAAGAGGACGATTGCTGCGCAGTTGTGTATGGGCCATTCCATCGTATACATCGCGTAGCACGCTTGAATCACATGCACGACATGTCGAATGCCTTCGCCTCGACGACGGCGCGAGCTAGGACCGACGCGATCGACCAGCTATTCCAGCCCTCGGACGCAGCCATGATGCATTCTCGATTTCAGACCTCGGGGATAATGATGATCTTCGACACGGGGGATACCAGGCCTTGGCGAGATTCCCGAAACCTAGCCATTCGACACCGATGAGGGGGATTGATGGGGTCGAGTGAGGAGCCCGTGGTCGTCGCGAAGGTGATGGGAGGGCCCCATGAGATCGTGGATCGAGTCGCGATCTTCGAACGAGGCGGAAACGCATCTTAGATGCGGGATATATAATTCGACACGCTGCGGTGCGACTACGGTGTCCGCCGACGATATATTTGATAAGATGCCGGTCGATGACGTGACGCAGATGACGATCGACGAGAAACTGAAACACAGCGATACCGTGCTCAATGGAGTCTTGTGAGAGAAGGGTCTTGTTCAAAGCTATAGCAAGCGAGAAGCTGTGCCATGCCTTCGTACCCATCGAGCGAACCGAGCCTTCACGACGGAGTTTAAGAACGGCACGGCACGAGCTAGAGCTAGATGTCTTGGGATCCGATACGCCTGGAACCTATCGAGCATGGAAGAGTTTCGTTACCGACGTGCTGCCGTCCATGCTGGATGGGGGAAGTTAGGCAAGGTCTGGACCAGCCGAACGAGTAAATCATTGAAGATACTGGCCATTAGGGGCCACGTGGTGGAGGCGACGCGTTCTGCCAATGAACCACTCGTGTTCCCGAGGGCCCAAACCCAGCAGATGGACGGAATGTTGGCTAAGTATCTCAGAGTACTGGAGCGTGGCAAAGCTACGGACTGGTCAGGCGAGCACCCGCACTCGTCTGCGAATTCGCTCAGGCAGAAGTGGCACCTAATTCCGATCCGCTTCGAGCAGGCGGCCAGGCGCTTCGGGTGGGTGTAACAGATGGCCAGGGACGCTGTCGCGCACCAGCAAGTGATCGCCTTGATTTGGGAGCACCTTGAAAACATACCTCCTACCCTTGATGATGCAGGCCATCTCCGAAAGTGTGCACCCCCACTGGCTTTCCAGTTTGAGCGGGACTTATGGGCCTTCGCGGGCATCAGTGGCACTGAGAACTTCTTCGAGGCCTGGGAAAAGGTAGGGTACTCTTGGAGGGCGTTGATTCTGGAGGAGGAGGTTAGGGAGCTCTTGTGGAAGGTGGACCCGAAGATCCTGAAAGCCTCGATCTTAGCGGAGGGGTTCTCGTCCTTCTCGCTCTTCTCCGTTGTTGTGTTCTGCTGCTCTTCCTCCTCCCCTTCCCCTCTCTCTCCCTCCCCTCCCCCTCCCTCCCCCCTCCCCTTCTGGCTCCTCGCTCTCCTCCTCCTCCTTTTCCCAGTTTGGCTTCTAATGTGTTCCTGCTCGTTTCGTGCATGTTTTTTTTTTTGAGGAGGTGTTTAGAAGCAGATTGAGGGGCCCTGCGAGAACCTTTGAGCAGGAGGGGGAAGCCGGCGAGGAGCCCACTGCCGTTGTGAGCAACCTTGGAGACTCTCGGGGGAACATGTGCCTCCAGGAGTTCGAGTCTCGAGGGGGGCTATTGGCCCACCAATCCAGGTCCGCAGGAGGTGAACACGGTACACTTAATCTACTGTGCTCTACTGTCCTGGCGAACGTGTGTCCGATCCAAGGACAGCGCACGCCAACATGTACGTACGGCGCGGCTGACGGACACGTGTAGACTCCAGAGGGCGGCTTTCTCTTGGGAGCCTATCGTACCTAAGTCTTTGAAGTGCTTGATGTGTGATTCAGAGTTTGACACGCTCGACGAGTATCATGATCACGCAGTCGAGTACCACCTCCCTCCACCTCGCACTGTTGTGCAGCCTCGAGAGCAGCGGGAGCGCCCTTCTATCCGCGCGGGGAGACCTGGGGATGTCGCTGGTCCTGACAGCGGGCAACGGCGACGAGAAGAAGGACACCTTCGAGCGACAGGTCAAGCGCCGAGACGGACTGCAACCCGCAACGAAGAGCTGCGCAGGCGTCTGCGCCAGCAACAAAACCTTGTACGTGCTGGTGATGAAAATGTTGTTGCCGCTCGCCCAGAGCAGACGGAACATCGGAGGAGTGCCCTTCGACGTGCTGATCGTTCCAGCGGACCTTGCAGATGCTGAAGATGCAGGAGCAGGGCGCGGCCTACAACAACCAGGTCCAGTCCAAGGGCAAGGGCCACGGGCTGGGAGCGCCCCATCTGCACGTGTTCGGGGGGTTGCTGGAGGCGCTTTTGTTGAGGCAGCAGAGCATAGGCAAGCAGAACTTCGACAAGCTTCAGGAGTTCAAGCAGCGTCTCCGGACGCTGGGATACGACGAGAAGATGGACATCATTCGCTTCACCAAAGTGGACAGGTGCTACGACCAGGGCAAGCGCAGGATCACTTTACGTTGTCGGGGCGGGCGCCA